TGACTGCAGTTCTGCAGTTCGGCTGTTCAAATCTCACCGGCTCAAGGTTGACTCAGCCTTCCATCCTTCCGAGGTGGGTGAAATGAGGACCCAGATTGTTGGGGGCGATGCGCTGACTCTGTAACCGCTTAGAGAGGGCTGAAAGCCCTATGAAGCGCTATATAAGTCTAACTGCTATTGCTAACTCACATCCAGCCCAAGAAATCCAGAACTCTCCCTGATCATGTAACCTGGTTTTAACAAATTAAACCTCTGCAAGCCCACCGCCCGGCTCAGAGAGCACCGAGGACCCCACGACTCAACCCTGAGCTGCACAGATTTTCTCCTCTCGGGAGTCCAGAAAGTAGGGTATCCGTGCCACCTCCCCTTCCTCTGCTCCTGGTGTTCAAGTGGCCAAATCTCTCCCTCCCTTTCAGCCACCATAGCTAACAGCTGTCCAAGGTTGGCATTGCGCAACCTAAAACTGTACTTTTCATGCCTCCACACCTGTCGTCTCCTTGTCCATTTCTGGCAACCGTGTCAACGCAGAAGCCAACGTGCTCGCTGGCCTTTCAGTCGCGGGAGCTTAGCTCCACCAAGAATAAACCCCGCAGAGATCGGGTATCGCGGAGTTAAACGTCGCTGGCCAAGATCGAGCCTTGGACTCCTGCCCTGTCCCCATCACACACACCCCCTTCTGCCTCCTCTCCTTCGTCCAGTTCTGGACATGGCACCACCGGAGGACAAGCTAAGATCAAACCCTCATTGCCCAAAGCTGGTGGCTCTCTTTCCAAAAGGAACACGTGTTCCCAGGAGGCACCAAAGGAAGTTCTGGAGAACGTCTGAACGAACAGGGCTCTCTGCCAATATGGCGCCTGGGAGACTCGTGGACTTCAACTCCCAGAATTCCCCAGCCAGCCATGGAATTCTGGGAGTTGGAAATGGCGCCAAATTTGGAGACACTGCAATAAAACACAGAAGCGTACGGTTGGAAGGGACTTTGGAGGTCTTCCAGTTCAAGGGTCTCCAACCTTGGCGACTTTAAGGCTTGTGGACTTCAACTCCCAGAATTCCTCAGCCAGCAAAGCTGGCTGAGGAATTCTGGGAGTTGAAGTCCACAAGCCTTAAAGTCGCCAAGGTTGGCTGAGGAATTCTGGGAGTTGAAGTCCACAAGTCTTAAAGTCACCAAGGTTGGCTGAGGAATTCTGGGAGTTGAAGTCCACCAGCCTTAAAGCCGCCAAGGTTGGAGACCCCTGTTCTATTCCAACCTTCTGCTCAAGTGGGAGATCCTACTAGACCATTCTGGACAAATGGATGTCCGATCTCTTCTTGGGGAGGTTTCCACAACTTCCAGAGACACGCAAATCTCCACACCTCCCCTTTTCCCCCTTCTTACCTCCTCTCACCTGCTGACGGCTTCTCTTAACCCCCAGCCTCCCTAGAATTCAACTCTGTGGGAATACAGGACTCACAACTAATCCTCAAGACATTAAAAGTGCAGGCTAGTAACATCATTGCTGGACCAGATCAAGGTCCATTCTTGTCCGCCATGTGGGTTCACACCTGGGAAGCCCCCAACGCATCTCCCCATGCCTCTGCTCGCTCCCTCCTGCCCCTGGCACTCAGTGCGCAGAGATACCCGTCACCCAAAGTTATGAGTACCAACAAAGGAGAATATTGGTATCTCTTGTGTTGAACTGCGGGGGTCCTTGGTGCTTTCTTGCAGAGGTTTTTATTACCCAACTAGTTAACATTGTCAGTGCTACATAGGAGTGAGCTTTGCACCATCTAGCACGGATGATGTTACTTCCTTGGGTAATGAAACGTCTGCAACGAAGCAACTGAATTCAGAGAGCACCAAGGAACCCAACAGATGTTGCCGTCCTCTTTCTCCACGCTGCAAAACTCAACTCTCCCCTTCTGGCATTGATGATGTTCTCTAGTTGGGCCACGAAACGTCCGCGAGAAAACCAGCAAGCTCAGAGAACACTAAGGACCCCCTTCGTTCAACCCAGCCAGCTGTAAGCCGG